GAAACACTTCTCCACTGCTGGTGGGAGTGCCAACTTGTACAGCCTCTTTGGAAATCAGTATGGCGACTCCTCAAAAAAATGGGAATGAGTCTACCACAAGATCCAGCAATTCCACTCCTAGGCATATACCCAAAAGAAGCACATTCATACAACAAAGACATCTGTTCAATGATGTTCATAGCAGCACTATTTGTAATAGCCAGAAACTGGAAGCAGCCTAGATGCCTCTCAACCGAAGAATGGATGGAAAAAATGTGGTTCATTTACACAATGGAGTACTACTCAGCAGAAAAAAAAACAATGGAATCTGAGCGAGGTAACTCAATCACAAAAAGACAAACATGATATGTACTCACTCATATGTGGATTTTAGACATAGAGTAAGGGATTACCATCCTACAATTCACACTGCCAGAAAACTAGTAAACAAAAAAGACCCTAAAAGAGACAAACTTTGTCCCCTGGAGAAGGGGAAAGGGTCACCATCCCCTGAGCAAATTGAGAACATGGGAAGAGGAGAGAGGAAGCTACGAGAGTGAGAAGGGAAGAAAAGGAAGGATGCAGAGGTCATGAGGAAGCAGAAATTTTGAGTCAGGTGTATGTTAGAAGAAAGGACATATGATAGGTAGGATTTTAGTGGGGGCGTGGTAGAGGAGGAAGGGAGGGAAAAGGGAACTGGGATTTTCATGTAATTCAATCTTGTTTGTAATTCAAATATATAAAAAAATAAAAAAATAAAAAAAAATAATAATGGATCCTATTTAATAGTTTTATAAACCATCTTAGGTCAGTCCAATAGCCTCATTTAGAGCCATTACCTCATTGCACAACTTTTATTTAAATTAGTTTCGGAAATGTTAAAAATGGTATGTGCACACACCCACTAAACAATCGGTGGCAGAACCTGGGTTTAATCCATACCAATCTGACTGACTCCAAATCTGTGCTCTTTAAGCTAAACCTAGAGATAGAAAGAACCATGCCTAATTACTCCCACTTTACCAGTCAAAAACTGATTTGGATAGTTTGTGCCACATCACAAAACAAGTTAGTGGGAGCCACAGCCAGACCCTGCTTTATACTCTTCATTCTATGTTGTTGCAGAGGTACAAGCCAGAGTTTACAGGTTACCTCCTAAAGGCTGTACTGACTTCTGAGAATCTCAAACATTCATACATGTGTCGTAGCTAACCATGGTATTCATGTGGTTTAGCTGACCATTGTATACATGTACTTTAGCTGCCATGGTACACATGTGGCTTAGCTGACCATGGTATACATGTAGTTGGCTGACCATTGTATACATGTGACTTAGCAGACCATGGTATTCATATGACTTAGCTGACCATGGTATACATGTGTTTTAGCTGACCATGGTGTCCATCTGGTTAGCTGACCATTGGTATACATGTGACTTAGCCGACCATGGTGTCCAAATGTGGTTAGCTGACCATTGTATACATGTAGTTAGCTGACCATGTGGTTAGATGATCATGGTATACATGTGGTTAGCTTCACCACAGTTCTGGCACATTGCCTTTCTAATCCATCTCTCTGGAAACAGGTACCAGGATGGACCTCTTTATGTGTCCCAGAATACTCTCCTGGATCGTATGAACACTGATGCTGACAGCTGATGAGCAGAAGATGCCTCCCCTGGGCCTTCATCCTGCCCTTGGCTGCCCTGACACCATCACAGGAAATCAGCAAAACATCTTGAGGAAGCACAGATATCATCTGCTATGTTCTTTCTCTTTATTCATAAGACTGTAAAGAGACCATGTCATAAAATTCCAGCTGAAAAGGTCTCATCTCCTTGAGTCCCATGATTTCAAGCAGGCTCCAAAGACGGGTGTCAGTGCTGTGCTCTGGCAGGAAGGTCTCCTTTACTCTAAGCCGCTGATTCTGTGTCCTGAAACTTGTATCCAGTAATTGTGCCTATGATGCCATGGTCAAGAAGTGATTCTCAAACAACAGAGTAGACACAGTGGCAGCTTCCCTGCAAGAGAAAGAAATAGGTTTTATCACCTAATAAACACGTCTCTCCAATCAATACTTATTTGCCCTCTTTTCTGAAGCAGCTCCCGAGAGTTACTTGAATTCTCTCACTATGGATAATTCTTGAAGAAATTGCATTCCTACCTCTTAATGATCTTTGAACAAAGCAAGCACCTCATTTTATTAAGTCCAGCTACCTGGAGGAGCTGCTTCAGAGTGGAGCTGAAGATAGAGCTACAAGTGAGTTCTTAATCATTCCGACGAGATAGAACTCTACTGTGTTATCAAACCTCACCGAGTTGGTCTCCTGAATGCCAGTGGCAAGAACAAACAGATGTCAGGGCTATTTGTTTTGTTCAAAAGTGACAGGAAATCAAATATCCATCAAATAGATGTGTCAGCAGCAACGCCACAAGCATACTGGTTAGTGAGATTTATGTGCCTCCATTTTGGTCCATGAGAAAATTACCTTCTAAGCTTTCTCCATTTTCGAATGCCCACTTGGACACACAGGTCAGAGAGCTCATGGGTGTTTCTTTGATGCTAGGTACCATGGACAATGTAGGCATATGTTACATGAATTTAAATGCTATATTTTTGTGGGTAGAGGGGGGGATTAGGGTTAGCCCTGACTGGCCTGGAACTCAGAGATCTGCATCATAAATGCTGGGATTAAAGGAATGGCACAATCGTGAGGTCCTGAGTCGAAATATCCAGAAGCCATGTGAAGTCAAACACATAGCATGTGCGTCTATTGTCCCAGTATTCACACAAGAAACTCTCCAGATAGATAGATAGATAGATATGAATAATGCAAGAGGCTTTGAAGAAAAATTCAGGGGAAAATATAGGATGAAACCTAAGAGCCCAGCTATCTGATTTCTTGGTGTCCTAGCACTGACTGCCTCCATCATCTCTACCCGAAGATGAGCTCATGAGACACTCCCAACCCCTGAGACTTGGTCAACCAGAACCCCAGGAGTGGGCCCACTAATATATACTTTAAAATCCTCCAGATGTTTCTTTTGTTCACTAAAATTTCAAGACCACTAATTCAACATTTGGAGACTAGCTGAGTTGTCTTCAGATCTCACTCCCTGGGTGAGTCGGGATCAGTGCCCAAGTGCACAAGCACATTAGTACTTAGTGAGAGTGCGCTCTATTAAGATTGAAGCAGCCAAATGGAAGCCATTAGAGATGCCTCTACCTAGGACTACAGTGAAGCAAAGCTATTATTGAATCCCTGGAGAGATTGTGAAGATGAGAGCCACCATCAAGGCCACAGGGGTGGTGGCTCCAATCATATCTCCATTTAAGTCTATTAGGCCTGTGCAGAAGAAAATAGGTGGATATTGGAGAATGACAGTTAATTATTGTGATAAACTGGGAACTCTAATCATACCTGTTGTACAAATTGCAGTTGCCTTGCTTGAATAGATGAATACATTTCCTGGTATCTAATATGTGGTTTGGTTTTTTGTTTTTTTATTTTTTGTATCTGTCCATAAGATGCATCAGGAGCTACTTTTTTGGGGGGCTGGCATCTTTTATTACTTTATGAGATGTATTTAGTAGATATTATCATTATTATGAGATGGCCATGAGCCCTTGAGGACAAAGGGTAGAATGTTACAGTTCAAGGTGTCTGGGTGTCAGGTTGATAAAGGATAGACTTGTCTTCATTTTCAACTGACTGGATTCAGAGGGGGCTGGGGGATACAATTCTAGGTGGGTCTGTGAGGGTATTTCCAGAGAAATTTATCCAAGAAGGGATAAATGCCCAGCAAGTTATGGGTTGGGATTCTGAATTTAACATAAATGGACAAAGGCACCAACATTCACATCTCTCTGCTCCCTACTGTGAAGGCAATGTGATTGGCCACCTTACAATCCTGCCACCATACTGTACTCCATCCCTTCTTAAAACAGAAGCCAAACTAAATCAATCTTCCTTAAAGCTGCTTCTGTGAGGTATTTTATCACAGTAGTGAACAGAGTACCTAATAGAGTGAGCCTCACAATATGCCAGCCTAGAATAAAGAGCAATGCAGCCAGGTTCCTTATAATTTGTTTAACGAACAAGGTGGATATAGGAGCAAACCATCTTTAGATTCAATTCTAGCACTTTATGAGCACCTACCATGTGCCATGCCTGTACTAAATAGAATTATCTTGTTTAGCCCTCCAGTAACATTGAAATTTACTATATGTCAAGTACTCAAAATGGCGGGCATTCAACTTGCAAATAAACAGAAATGCAACTCTCCAATTAGTGTCCATTGCTGGCATGCTTTGAAACTCAAGGTACTTGTATGTGAATGGTCCTATCATTTCTTCGTTGGTTAATTGCTCTCAGAGTTCATTGTATACCACAATTAAAACACCAAATTGTTTATAGAAAACCATGTGTAGAGTGTACTTTTAAGCTGGCCACAGGTAATTCTGAATTGCTAGACTGTGCCCACGATGAACTCTCCTAATCATGAAAGGCACTCAAGTCAGATCCCAGGAATTATTCCTAAGATTGGGATTCCTTCAGAATAGCATTTCAGGCGGTGGAAAGTGTATGCTTATTGCATATCTCTTATCCAAACTGCCTGGATAAGAAGTATTTTGGATTAGGGAATTTCTCATGTTTTTGCAATATTTGCACACACATAATGAGATTCCCTGGGATTAGAACCCAAGTGTAAACACTAAATTCATTTCCTTTTCATATAGACTGTATGCTCATAGCCTGAAGATAATTTACATAAATACTTACAGTTAACCTTGTTTGGACTACCACCCACCACATAGGTCAGGCATAAAGTTTGTCACACATCACTTTAGGTCAGCATTCAGGAAGTTGCATACTTAGGAGAATTTCGTATTTTGATCTTGGGGATTAGTTTCCAGACTGGTAAGATGTATTTGTTTTAGTGGCCAATCAACACATTCCTTTCTCGTGATCCTTCCTGCCCCAATTACTGCTTCAAGTCTCCCTCCTTACTGTTCTCAGAACAATACTAAGCTTCCGTTAATCCTGAGAACGCCTTTACAAATCTGCCTCCTCAAGGGCCTCAATCAGTGTAGATTACACTGAACAGTTTTAGCGATTTGAAAGCAGTTGTAACTCAGCACATAGTACAAAACTGCTTTGAAAATCAGAGAGCCAAGCAAATAAAGCCGCTGAGCAGATAACAAAATGCCTGTGAAATAGTATTCTATGGGTATCACTGGGAAACGTACAGCATGAATAGCCCAGGGAGGTTGATTCATAATGCCAGGTTTATAAGCATGAAAACATGGCTTGAGCAAATAATTCTGATTTTGCTTTTGATACTCACTATGATTCTTTATTCCACTAAGGGGGAACCACACTGTTCCTTGAGCAGCATCTCCATTATTCTAATTCCCTATGGAGAGAAGAAAGAAAAATCAAAATGCCATCTTTCATAGACAAGCACCATTACATTTATCATAACCTTTTCCCTATAGGGAATCCAGTCCTGACCATATATTAGTTCAAGAAAAGTGGGCTCAGTCATCCCTGACATTTTTGTAATATTTCACTCAGCAATCCCCCTTCTGCTTTCTCCACATGTTCTCAAAGCTGTTTCAGGGGTGGGTAGAGCAGAGTTTGGAATCTGCTTGCAACATCAGAAAGCAGCCCAAGCCAAGGTAAGCAATGTCTCATAAGTGGCATAGCTTGCCAGAGTTGGAATAATGGTAACTGTAAATGTTTGCTGAACGCTGACAATTGTGCTGGCTTCACTGCCAAGGTTCATGCATGCTGGTGGGGACAGCAGGTGCTGCCATACCCTACTGAGACGCTCTCCAAGAGGAAGGCACTCTTCCCTCATCCACAGACCCTATTATGGACCGCTACAGGCACAAGGCCATCTCAGCCAAGGCAGATCATCACCTGAGGTCATTTAGTGCCAGCCCTTATCCTGTGATTGGTGGATATGAAGATAGAATGACTCTCTTCCTTCACTTGCCAACAACATTGAAGTGTAATACACCCCCATGGCTCTGCACAGAAAAATCCAGACCTCTGCTGCAGCTGTATCTCAGCCAGCTTCCCCTGCTTCCTCCTCCTTACAGAGATGCTCCCCACAGTCCCCTCCAATACACTGCACATGCAAATCTCCAGCTCTGACATCTTGTTTGATACACACAAAATTGCTTCCCTAGTTACAACACAGATGTTCAAAGAGGTTTAAGTACATGCCCCCAGCTCTAATGCCATGATGCCAGGGAGAGCACACAGGCACTCCATCCTGCTTTCAGGCCCACACACCAGTCTTCTGCACCACTCACTCCATGACTTGCCACACCACCTGCTCTTGGAGGAAAGAAGATGGCAGCTACTCCTCTCCTACTTTGGAGACCAGTTCTTTAGGCTAGAGAACAGCTTGCAGGTAGAAAGATGGGGCTGTGGCATAATTGTGAGGCCTTAAAGAAAGCAAAGGTGGATCCAGAAGGAAAGGGGCCTGCTGTTCACAGAGACTGGGAATGTTGAGAATAACAACAATGAAAAGACCTTTAAAACAGTTCCCTAGGCCACTCCCAGAAATACAGGTTTAATGGGACTCAGGTGGGGCTGCAGAGTATTGCATATTTGAGAGCTTTCCACGTGATTCCCTGAAGACCAAGCAGGGATGGGCAATGCTGAATGAGCCTACAAAAGAAGGGCTGGGACCCACCATTGGTGCTTATGTGAGCCAGGAGATGGGGATTGGAAGGGGTCAAAGGCATCACTAGTGAACACAATAAAATAGAAGCCAGGGAAGTGACTGTGTGGGTAAAGTGTTTGACATGTGAAGATGGGGACCTGAGTTCAAACACCCAACACATATCTTTTAAAAGACAAAAAAAAAAAAAATAGTCAACCACACACCTATATTTCCAGCACTGGGAGACAAGGGAGAAGAGACAGACAGATGGATATGCTGAATTCATCTTCCAGCCATTCTAGCCAAATCCATGGGCTTCAGGTTAAATGAGAGACCCATCTCAAAAAGATACGGTAGAAAATGATCAAGGAAGATGCCTAACCTCTGGCCTCTACATGCATGAATATACATGCAAATCTCGTGTGCCTATATGAACATGAACATATACCACACACACACTAACACATGTGCACACAAAACACACACACACACACACACACACACACACACACACACACAATCTTTCACAGCAAAACAGAACAAGTGAGATATGTTTCCGATGGTCCTTCCAGTTCTCTCAAGGCCATCACCCCTATAATGCTGCAGTATTAAGCAATCATGACAGAAGATGAGAAGCATGACTTGTCAGATGAACCAAGAGAGTGAACCACAGGACCAGTAACATAGCCATCTGAGCCAGGAGACTTGGACCTTATTTACAGCTCACAGCCTTTCCAAAGCTGGGTTCCTTAGGATGGTTGCTTTTCACCAAGAACTGAGGCCATCTATTTTCCAGCACACCAAACAAACTAGGACCATCCACAAAAGAGATTACAGGCTCCTCAGCTCCAACAGTGACTTCCATCAGAAATTATAGTGCCAAGACCTGGAACTGTGCACTGATAACACACTTCATGAGATTCTGAAATGCAGTGTACAAAGATTTGTAAATAGTAGCTTTGTAGCATTTCTAAGATCCCCTACAGTTTTGCCCATCTGGGCATGATGAAGCAAGCTCTCCATTATCATACCTGGAGATGTTATCTCAGACTGTACTTTTAAAACTAGTCTCCAGTTGGTGTTGGAGAGATGGCTCCGTGGTTAAAAGCACTAGCTGCTCTTTGCAGGGGACCTGGGTTCAATTCCCAGCACTCACATCAGGCAACTCCTGCAACTCCAGCTCCAAGGGTCTTACACACTTTTCTGGCCTCCTCAAACACCTGCACCCACATGCATATACACTCACATACATTTGTTTTTAATCAATCATGTGATTAAAAAAAAAACTAAAAAAAAAAAAAAAAAAAAGCTAGTCTCCTAAAACACTGGGGAAGAAGAAGGGGGGACCAGGGATGCAGCAATGTATCTGACTAATATTTATGCCTACTATGTGCACTAGATATCAAATGATGAACAGTTAAGAAAAGGTCCCTTCCCTGATAGAATTTACAAAAAAATTCTTTCTTATTTCAATTTTCTCTTCTTCCAACACCCCCCCCAGATAATTAAATATCCTCTTGTTTCCAGAAGAATAAAATCTGCCATATAAATTCTTTTTTCAAACTTTTTTTTTTTTTTTTTTTTTTTTGGTTTTTCAAGACAGGGTTTCTCTGTGGCTTTGGAGGCCATCCTGGAACTAGCTCTTGTAGAACAGGCTGGTCTCGAACTCACATGGATCCACCTGCCTCTGCCTCACAAGTGCTGGGATTTAAAGGCGTGCACCACCAACGCCCGGCTTCAAACATTTTTTTTTTTCAGAGTCACTGCACACATCCAGGCAACATGTCTTTAAAACAGGGAAAGCACATTCTTCCTTGGGAAGAGAGAACTAACCAGTAATCTGTCTCATCCATCTAAATTAAGACCTCCACCATTTACCAGGCCACTAATTGACATAAATAAAGATTCCAAGACTTGCCCTGGGAATTGTTATTTATTGGATCAATTACGTTCGCAACGTGACAGTTGATTTTTCTTTCCCTCTTTCCTCCTCTCATACCACTTTGCTCTTAAGAAGAATGGTTAGACACAGAAAGGGGAGAGTGAGGGCAGGGAAATGGCTTATAAAGTAAATTAAGAAAAAGAAAAATCCGAACAGTAGGTCAGCCATTATTTGGCACCTCTCTTGGTAAGGAGTGGCCTAATCAAAGCCCAGTAGAAAGTACTTTCAAATAAAGTTCACTCCAACACTCAAATCTCACCCCCTAGAGATGAGATGTAAAGAGGCTAAATTTATACCCCTCATCACACAATGAGGCCTTCGTGCAGAGTAAACATTAAGTGCATCCACCTTGCAGACATGCTTTAAAAGCTTTTTGGACTGACAAACCATAAACCAGCTTGATTTTATTATCTCTCTGCTCTCAGAATGTTTTTTCCTCTATTACTAGGCCATCTTTCCCCATTTGTCAATGCACAAGCAAGTAAGCCACCTAGGGCCTCATGTCCCTAATGCCAGGACAGCAAGGCCTAAAGGCATTCCCATTCTTTAGTCTCAAGCCTTTCAGGTTTGAAGTCCTTCATAAAGGCCCTTCTCTGTTTCTGAGAAATCTCTGATTATGACTGCAAGACCAGAGTATGTCTTCAGGAGAGGTAAAAGCAAAGATGGCTAGGTCCAGACAGTGTATTTATTTTATAATCAAGTTGACATTCCCTTAAGAAACACCTGATTTACCTGGGAGGTTCCAAAGGGAGTTGTATTAGACATTACAAAAATTATAGACATCGTAGCAGCTCCCCAAAGGCATACCCATGCAGAGCTCTTAATAAGAGAGCTGTTCACGCCAGGCATTAGTGATGCACACCTTTAATCCCAGCACATGGGAGGGAGAGGCAAAGGATCTCTGTGAGTTCGAGACCAGCCTGGTCTATAAGAGCTAGTTCCAGGACAACAGCCTCCAAAGCCACAGAGAAACCCTGTCTCGAAAAACCAAAAGAGAAGGGGGGGGAGAGAAAGAGAGAGAGAGCTGCTCACTTATCACAGTAATAAAAAAAAATGGTGTCAAAGACCCCACTGTTAACAGCTCCCTTCTTCAGAACAAATACTGCCTGTGCCAGCTAAATTTTTGTCAACTTGACACAAGCCAGAGTCATCTGAGAGGAGGGAACCTCACTTGAGAAAATGCTTCCATAAGACTGGCTTGTAGACAAGCCTATGGGGCATTTTCTTGGCTGATGATTGATTGGTGGAGAAGGGTCCAGCCCGTTGTGGGTGGTGCTATTCCTGGGCGGGTGGTATGGGGATGTACAAAAACAAATTTATAAAGACACAAGGAGAGAGCCAGTCAGCAGCATTCTTCCACAGCCTTTGTTTCAGCTCCTGCCTCTGGTTTCCTGCCTTGAGTTCCTGCCCTGACTTCCTTCCATGATGGACTGTAATGTGGAAGTAGAAGCAAAATAAAGCCTTCCCTCCCCAAGTTGCTTCCAGTTAACAATATTTTATCACAGCAAAAGAAAACCTAATTAAGACACCATCCATAGAACCAGCTGCTGCTGTGTGTATGAGACTTCAGCCAGCATCATAGAGCTCCTACAGGACACTAAGTCCCCAATCAGAGGTCGTGGTCTCGTGGAAGAATGAAAAACAACTGAAAGGCAAGGCAATCTCTGAAAAGGGTTGTAACTTACAGAAGAAAAACCGTATGAAAGAAGAAGGGGAGGAGAGGTCAGTCACACAAGAAGAGACCGGTGGGAAGAAAAACCAGAGGGGCAGAGATGTGAACAAACGACAATGTCCT